ATATTTAATTTTACTTCTTCCCTCTTTATTACATGGACAAAATCACATGGTAACCAAAAAGCTATATCCCTCTTTTTTTCTTTTGTTTTTTCCTTGGTGATTCACATTTTCCACTAATCTTATGACTTTTTTTTGTCTTGATTTTTTATACTAAACACAATCATTATATGTCCACTTTATTTTCTCCTTTAAAATCGTGAAATACTACAAACATATTACTTAATTTATAAAGAAATGACGGAATACTTTAATTTATTATCATTAGAGAAAACAGTTCTTATTAGTGTAAAAAAAAAAAAAAAAAACAAGAGTGACCATCTAATTTTCAGGACCATTGACATATTGTGTAAACTTATGTTAACGATTAGTATACAAGATTTATGCGTATTTGATGTATGTTTTAGGTTTCTAAATTTTTACTATGGACTTCTTCTATTTTTTAATTATTGCACCACTTTTTTTTAAAGAAATTTTCACAAAAATTGCACCATATCAATTTTAAGAAAACAAAATATCAAAAATTTTCACAAAAATTGCACCATATCAACTCTCTCTCTCTCTCTCTAAAATTGTGTCCAATTTATATGGTCTGATGATAATTAAAAAAGGGAAAAAATATATCATTTTACTACATTTTAAGACGATATATATATTAGTTCATGCCATGCACAAGATTTTTAGGGTAAATTCTATCAAAAAAAATCTTACGTGGACCTGGTCCACAATAATATTATTGTGGACATAAGGTTTATACATGCATAACTGACATTATATTCAACATATTTATCCCTAATTTTAATAAGTAACCTTATTATTAATATAGTAACCTTTTTAAAAATTTGTGTGACCTTTAATGTTATTATGAACTTAAAGTACGACACTATGTTGAATAGTGACCTAATTTTATCATATTGATCTTTATTATTCATATTGACCATTATATTAAAAGTTTCATTAAAAAAATTAATCTCTTATAGCTTTTATAATGTCACATTAACTTCAATTTCAACATAATAACCTTTGTTTATAATATAGTGACCTTTATTTTTTATTAATAAAACAATCATATTGTCTCTAATGTTAGTACTTGGTCCACACTAAATTAGTTTGAACTAGGTTCATTTAAGAATTTGTAAAATTCTATTAAATTTGTTTGATTAATTAATAGTGTTATTGAACTAAACATAAATCATGATCTTAACTTGATGAAGAAATCTTTATTTGATTCAATTTTATGTATTTGTTGATTTAGATTTTATTTCAAGATGTGTGATGACTTTTTATTAATGAATTGATTTTGTTAAAAAAAACATAAATCATGATTATACATAAACTTAAAAATAGACGTATCATGTTTAGTTTTGATCGTTAATATATAGTATTCTAAATGATAAGTTTACATTTTTTTTTTTGACAGTAATAAGTTTACATTTGTGACATGTCTGCTGCATTTACTATTATTTGCGCACATAATTTTTGCACAATATTGAAGTAGATTAAATTTTGTATTTCTAATAAGTGCAATCATGTCAACATAATAGGACAATTCAACTAATTTAAATTTGAGAAGGTATTGCGTTAGTTCGGACTAATGAAATGCGGATTTTTGATATCCTCTAATGGCTGGATGATATCATCCAATGACTGGATGATATCCTCTACTAATTGGATGATATCTTTTATTAGCTATATGATATCCCTTATTTGCTGGATGATATTTCTACTGCCTGGATGATATCCTCCATTGGATGGATGATATCATATAGTCAATAGAGGATATCATCCAACCATGGTATCATATAACGAATAGAGGATATCATCCGACCAATAAAGGATATCATAGACACAGTTATAAATGATATCATATAGCCAATAGAGGATATCATCCAACCATGATATCATATAGCTAATAGAGGATATCATCAAGCCAATATAGGTTATAATCCAGCCAGTAGAACTATCATCCAACCATTAGAGGATGTGTATAGTATAAATTATTGTAGGATATAAATTATTTGATGGAGGATATGTATAACTTGTTTGAGGATATGTATAACAATAGCGGAAGCTCCAATTAACATTTCGTACTAAAGGTCACGGGTATAACATAACTTCCTCATTTCTCAACCAAAATACATGCATATATGCTATCAAAATGCTCACAATTCAACATAAAATAATATGGGACAATCAATTTCAACAATTATATATCATGTAAGAAAGCCCCAATTCGATTTTTTGGGCATTTTTCGAAAAATTCGAGAACCTCAAGCAATAAAACTTTCTTTCTCTTCCGCCATGGATGACCTCGCTCCTCTTTGTCATAACCACCACGAACTTTTCATCGGGTGGAAACTTGTTATTCAACGCAAGAAGATGGCGATGATACCTTCTCGACTGACGAAACATTGCCGCACCCAATACTTTGTGTTTAAATTTATTATATTATAAAATATTAGCATAAATAAAGTCTAAAAATTGATTTCATTCCTAAAAAAAAGTCTAAAAATTGATTTCTCATGCTTGTGATACATTACCTTTGCAAATTCTTAAATGGACCTGGTTCACACTAATTTATTGTGGACCACTAACATTAGAGAAAGTATGGTTGTTTTATTAATAAAAAAAGGGTCACTATAATTAAAAAAAATGTCACTATGTTGAAATAAAAATCATTTTGGTAATATATAGGCCTAAGTGGTTATTTTTGTAATGAAATATTTTATATACTGATTAATATGAATAATAAAGGCCACTATGTTAAAATTAAGATAATAGCGTCGTATTTCAAGTTCATAATATTATTAAACGTTGTAGTAGTTTTAATAAAGGTTACTATGTTAAAAATAAGGTTACTATCTTAAAAATAATGGTCACTATGTTCAATATAATGTCAGTTGCGTGTGTATAGATCTCGGGTCCACAATAATATTGTTGTGGACCAGGTCCACGCAAGTCTTTTTGCATTACCTTTAACAATACCATAATTCAACACTTAAGCACTTTGTAAAATAATAATAATAATAATAAATAAAAATAAAAAATAAAAATAAAAACACTTGAGCGATTGTATGAAATTCAATTTACTAATATTTACTGAGTACATTATTTGATAGGAAAAATTGCCAAAAACAATACAACCTTTAGCCCATTCTTTTTAATAATACAACCTTTTGATTATTTTATAATAATTCAAACTTTAGGAGGTGTTCATTTTAAACAAGACAAAATTGAATTTTCGGTGGGTTTTGAGGTGGGAGAAGGGGAGGGGATAATCCCCCCTTCCTCGTCGCTGCCACTAAAAACTCATCCTCTCCCCTTTCCTAACCTTAAAATCCCACGAAAATTCGATTTTGTCTTATTTAAAATGAACACTACCTAAAGGTTGTATTATTACAAAATAATCCAAAGATTGTATTATTAAAAAAAAAACCAACCAAAGATTGTATTATTTTTAGCAATTTTTCCAATTTGATAAGAATCGATTTGTTAAGAAAACAATGACATCTACCTGCCTAAAAAAATATGTAACACATCAAGTCCCCTTGTTGTATAGCTTTAACCATTAATTAATACGATAACTTATTTTGAAAGGTTCCAAGCGAAAATACCAATTGTTTCAAATTTATAAGATCTTATCTCAGCTTATTAGACCCGAGTATTTCTTACTCTATATACTCCCTCCGTGTTTTTTTAAGTGTTACACTTTTCATTTTCGGCCGTGTTTTTTTAAAGTATTACACTTCCTTTTTTGGTAAAATGCTACATTAAAATATTATATCTCTCTCCTCTCATGGTCCTCACCCAAACCCACTACTACTTTTTTTATTATATCTTTCCTCTCACATTCATTACTTTTCAATAAACTATTAACCTCACTATCTTTCTTTTATAATTTTTTTAATATTCTAAGGGTCTGTTCATATTTACTGAACTGAGCTGAACTGAAATGATTGCAGCTGAACTGAACTGATTGGAACTAAACTGAACTGAACTGAACTAAGCTGAAATGAATATTTATGAGAGAGGGAAATTAAGAGCTGAACTGAACTGAACTGATTGGAACTGAACTGAACTGAACTAAAATGATTGGAGCTGAACTGAACTGAAAATAAGTAAATATGAACAGGCCCTTCACTACCCCAAGTACCTCTTATTTTATTTAAGTCAATTAAATTGTCTAAAATTATGTATCGGTCAAAATGTAACACTTAAAAAAAAACACGGAGAGAGTATTGCTTTTAAATCCCTCTCTCTATCCTTTAAAAGTATGAGGTATCTATGAATAGTATTTAGATAATTATAGCCCTAAATGTATTTCCTAGTATTTACATATTTTCCTAATTAATGCTTCGAGCAAATAAATTTGTACCTCTCAAAAAAAAAAACAATTAAATTTATAACCTAAACTCAAACTGAAAGATCTCCCCTAACAAGGCTAGCCATGGGCCATGTCACACATGTGATGTACGTTAGCCGCCGCCTTAGTGACATAAAATATTTCACCTCTTTGATTTGATATGTAGCACAATATGGGTAGGGACTATGCGAATAGCACTATAACTTGGATTCTCTTGCTAAACAATCAATTGATTTTTACTATTGCCTGGGCTCAAAATTTAATTATAACACTATTTCGTAGTTAATGCATGAATTGATGTTTCCATATAGGTCAAATCTCATACATTGTGAGGTTTGTTTTTATTCTTTTCACTGAAAAGTCATATGATAAGGTTGGATAAATATGGCACATGTATTATTAGTATGGAGTATAATTTTTATTCCCCTTCATTGCCTCAATTATTTTAAAAAAGAAATTCCCAAAAAAATATGATTTGATATGCTTAGAAATTTTCAAACCTGTAATAAATATTTATAATCGTATCTCCCAACCTCTAAATACGTCACTTAATTAAATGCATGCAACACCTTTTATGTTTAAGAAGGAAGCACGTCAATTCCAGATAACGTTATTGCCCTTATATAAACTCCATAACAATTGCCTATGACTACAAGTACCATTCTCAATCGATTGAGTCTTTTCTTTCTCCTCACTAACACATCTCTTCTCCCATAGCTATCAGCCTTTTGGTCACGATAAGATGGCACAAGTGGCTGTCAATGAAACAAAAGCCTTAGCTAACGTCTTAGCCATTGGCACTGCTAATCCACCGAATATTGTGTACCAAGCTGAATGTGCTGACCACTATTTCCGTGTTACTAATAGTGAGCATATGACTAATCTCAAGGCCAAATACAAGCGCATATGTATGCTTTTCCTAATTTTTACATTTTCGTTCCTACTAATATTTTGCTAGCACAAAACATAAAAATACTATGCTACTTTAGCTTAGTTGGTTAAAATATTTTGATGGCGGCTTTTACAAATTTTGCATTCTTCGATTAATATTGTGCTTGCATACAAAAATAATAACATTGACTCTAATTAGCTTACTTTGATAAATTTTTTGAAAGTAATATTATACTCAATTCAAATCTTGCATTGGAATCTAATCCCTTCTACTAGTATAATTTACCCTTGTAGTCTTCTCTAAATCGATAAAAATAACTATTTACCCGGCTTATATATATGTTTTTGTTTTCCTTTTTTTTTTTTTTATTTATTTTTTTTTTTTTTTAACTTTAGCTTTGATGACACAAACCAAAGAAAAAAAAATCTTAATTCATTAAAACAAGCAATATAGTGAATTAATTAATTAACTAATGTCACTTTTAGCACTAACCATCAGATCACCTCTTTTTATATTTACTCATATTACATTAGAATATTTTTTTTAGGTCCGTTGAACGATTTTAAATTAAAAATAAAGGTTTCTTTGTTTATTTTTTACAAGGTATATGCATAAATTAGGAAATTTTGTGTAGAAAGATAGGGTTATTTGTGAACAACTACCCATTTTTTTTATTTGTTTAGAACTACTCGTAAGTTTGGAAACATTTGGATATCACTACCACTAACGTTTTTCGTCCAATTAAAACGTTATTTTGGCCCAATTTTTTACTTTTATCAATCACAATGACCAATTAATGCTAAAATAAGCAAAAACCTCAATTCAATTAAACCCCAAACCTTAGAAATCAAAATCCCCAAATAATACTAAACTCATGAACCCTTAAATGAATTCTAATTAAAACCCTAATTAGGTTAATTAAAATCTTTATACAAATTGGGAGAGTTAATTGGGTGGCAAAAGTGAAAAATGTGGGATCCGATAACGTCTTAATTAAGCGGAAAATATTAATGAGTAGTGATAATCAAACGTTTTCAAACTTGTGGGTAGCTCTAAATAAATAGAAAAAAATGGATAGTTGTTCACAAATGACCCTATCTTTAGGATAGTTCTACACAAAATTTTCGATAATTTATTTTTATAGGACTATTAAACGATTTAGCTCCTTTATTACACAAATGAAACCCTCTAGTAGAGCTCATATGTAATTATGTATGACACAAATTTATCGTCTGTAAAAACATGAATTTCAGGTGAGAAAACAATGATCAACAAGCGACACTTGAACGTATCTGAGGAGATCTTAAAAGAGTACCCGCAATTGTGCGATTACAATGCTCCCTCGTTGGACATTCGTCAATCCATACTCGCTAAGGAGGTTCCCAAACTCGGAAAAGAGGCGGCTTTGAAGGCCATTGAAGAGTGGGGACAGCCCATAAACAAGATCACCCATCTTATCTTCTGTACGTCCACTGAAGTCAACATGCCCGGCGCCGACTACCAGCTGACTCGGCTTCTAGGCCTTAACCCTTCAGTGAAGCGATACATGCTTAGCCAAGTTGGTTGCCATGCTGGAGGAGCTTCACTTCGTTTGGCCAAGGACCTTGCAGAGAACAACTCTGATGCTCGAGTACTTGTTGTGTGCTCTGAGAGCGCAACCATTTTCTTCCGTGGGCCTTCTGAGACCGACATGGAGTTCATGTTGGCTCAAGCTCTTTTTGCAGATGGAGCTGCGGCTGTGATCGTGGGTGCAAACCCAGATGAGTCGTTGAATGAACGACCCATTTTTCAGTTAGTCTTGACTACACAGACAATACTGCCTAACTCTGAAGGGGCTATTGGAGGCAACCTCAGAGAAGTTGGGCTAGAAGTTCAATTTCTTCCGACTGTTCCGGGGCTAATATCGTATCACATTGAGAAATCTCTAGTTCAAGCCTTTGATCCGTTAGGGGTCAAAGACTGGAACTCGATGTTTTGGATTGTTCACCCTGGAGGTTCTGCTATTTTAAGCCAAATAGAATCTAAAATTAAGCTTAAGGATAGCAAACTAAAAAGTTCTTGGCATGTTTTAAGGGAGTTTGGAAACATGTCGAGTGCAAGTGTGTTGTTCATAATGGATGAGACGCGTAAGAGGTCGCTAGATGAAGGTAAGGCTACCACCGGGGATGGATTGGAGTTGGGTGTCTTATTCGGCTTCGGCCCCGGTGTTACTGTTGAGACGATCGTCCTCCGGAGTTTCCCGCTTAATAAGTAGGTCGTTGATTGGTGTTACTGTTGAGACGATTGTCCTCCGGAGTTTCCCGCTTAATAAGTAGGTCGTCGATTGGTGTTTAAGCAAGTGTCTTTTCTCCAAGCTATTTGTGTTTATGTCTTCAACTTGTGTCTAATGAAATCCTGTTTCAATTCCTATATATTGTACTGTTGTTGTAATGCGTGTGTGGCCGTGTGAGCTTTAGCCTAATTTTATAAATAAATATATTAATGAGTAAATGAGTGAATGTATCAAAGTTAAACATATAGGGAACACTATTGGTAGATATAGTCGACGTTATAAACTTGAACAATATGTCCATTATTATCCCAATTAATTAATACTAGATGAAATCCGTGCGATGCACAGTTTGTTAGTATTTTTTTTTAAGAAAATATTTTTCATATTTATGTTATTAAAATTGTTATTATATTAGTTTTAAAATATTATAATAAAATTCATAATCTCAAAAGATAATATTTTGTATTTAATTAATTTAAACTTTAAAATCTTATTCGTCAATTTTGCTTACATGGCATTTGAATTATTTAATTGTAACAGAAATTAATAATCTCTTGTTTAATTGGTTACAACTTAAATTTACAATCTTACGTGGCTCTTTATATATATATATATTAGATTTTATAGAGTATACTTCCTTGGTTCTCTATATATTGCATACCATTTGCAATTTTAATTAACACTATTTATAGACTTATCTTCAAGTATATATTACTCCCTCCGTTTTAAAATACTTGCTTCATTTCTCCATGCACGGAGTTTTAGGAAGAATTGAAAAAAATAATAATATATGGAGGTAGTGGGGTAAGTGGAAGAATGAAAAATTGTAAAAAGCAAAAGTAGTGGAGAGGATTGGAGCAGAGAAAATATGTGGTGGGTCCACCAGGTGAGAGAAATTAGTTTAATATTGTAAAAACTTTCCAAATATGGAAATCGAGCAATTATTTAAAAACGGCCGAAAAGGAAAGTGGAGCAAGTATTTAAAAACGGAGGGAGTACAAGATAAATATAGTCACGTAAAATCTGTTCGATTCGAAAATATTTGGAGAACGAGGGATGTAATTTTTATAATATGATGTAATATACTATACATATATTGTCTATAGGGATTTTTTTTTTTGTTATAAACTACCTAATAAAACCTAGAATTTGGGAGAAACTACCTAATAATTTTTTTAAAAAAACTACCGATTAAAAGGTAAATTGTTGTAAAAGATTACCTTTGGCTGACATTGTTGACCTATTTTTCCAATGTTAACCCACCACAAAACATGCTTGAAATATCCGCTCTAGGGTTAAAGAGCGGTTACGATGTGAAGGAGGCAGTTTCAAGTCGAAACCATCCTTCAACCCTAAAGTGGGCAATTTCGGAGATGTTTTGTGGAGGGTCAATGACGGAAAAAATTGGTCAACGATGAAAGTAGCCTAGTACACCATTTACCTTATACGAAGTATAAGGTAAGTTTTGTAACAATCAATTATTCAATAATCTATCTATATATATCTATTAACTAATACTAAAACAAAACATGCTTACATCATTTTTGTCACATGTCAAAGTATCATTAAAAATTTTCCCGCCAAAACAATATATGATGTCATTGTTTTTTTTTTTTTTTTTTTTTGGGTTTTTGTTATTTTATTACTTAGCTTATTTTTAAAAGTACTTTGTATAGTTTTTTTTTTTTTTTTGGAAAAAACATGCATCATTAATGCAATATAATGTTTAATACTTTTAAATACTTCAACACAACTAATTAATAATAATTTTTTTTTTCTGAATTTAATTTTAATAGTTTGGCCTTATTATTTCAATTTTCTTACACACATTGCATTTGTATTTTTCATTTGAATTGCCTCATTTCTAAAATATTATACACAAATTAATTATGGAAAAAAATTGTTACTACCGTGCGATGCACGGGCACTAATCAAGTATATACTAAAATAATAACTGCTGATGTCCATTGCTTAAATGTCCCTTTTTTATTTAATTTTTTCCCTCCAAAATACAAGGATGATGTCATATTTTTTTCCCTTTTTAAGCTACCCTATTTAACATAGCTTTGAAATATATTCCAGTGAAATTTTTAAATTTTAAATTTTGGGTTTTCTACACATATTATGCTATTTAGTTATTTACGAGTTGTTAACAATTGTTAATAATGTAATTTTAATTGAAATTTCTTAATTAAAAATGAAATTTATGCACTTTCGGGAATTGCATATTCATTTTTAATTAGAAATTAGTTAGGAAAAATGAGGAATTCATTTTCTTTCATTACGTATGGTTAAAAGTTTATAATTCAATTCAAATTTTGAAACCGTGCATTTCACAGGTTTACTTGTTTATATGCTAAAAGACCCCAATAATGACACGTTCATCTCCTGGTGTGTCTTTAGATTTTTTTTTCCCTTTAAATATCTATTTAAATAATAAATTAAATATTTCTACATATATGTAATAGTTACATACAAAGTATAATAGAAGATTTTATACAACTTTCCAACAAAAAAAAACATACTGACAACTACTACCTCCGTTTTTTATTACTTAACACGTTTTGACTTTAGCACTGTTCACATACTTTCCTTTGACCATGTTTTGTGATTTATACGTGATGAAAAATATAATCATGTGGGATCTTGTTAGATTTGCCATAGTATATATTTTCAAAATATCAACTTTTTATAATTTCTACTTACCGATAATTAAAGATATTAACAGTTGAAATCGTACATTGGCAAATGTGACTAAAGAAACGTGCCAACTAAAAAGAAACAAAGGAAGTATAACTTAAGAAAAAAAAATTAAAATTATATTTTTAACATAATTTGTGACATATGACTTTTGTTAAGGAAAGACATATTATGTACTATCGTCCTGTTCACTTCAGCTTAATTTAAGTACACTTCAGTTCAGCTCTAATCAGTTCATTCAATTCAGTTTAGTTCAGCTCCGATCCAATCAATTCAGTCCAGTTCAGCACTTCAGGTCCTAATTTCCTTCTCTCATAAAATATTCATTTCAGCTCTATTCAGTTCAGTTCAGTTCAGCTCCACTCAGTTCAGTTCATTTTAGCTCAGTTCTATAAATGTGAATAGGCCCTATATGCCTACATACATTTATTACAACTACTACCTTCGATATTTTTTAATTGCAACTTTGGAATATTTTATATCTCACAAATAATACCCAAAGTTGCAACTAAAAAAAAATTCGGAGATAGTATTTTATTTTCTTGATTTTTTTTATACAAAAATTACGTAATAGAAGCTGCAAGCTTAAATAATAACATGCGAATATCAAATAAAAAAAATAATACTTTTGTCATTTTCTTGAATAATTATGATTAAAATTTCAATCAATTAACACTCTATGGATATTTCAATAAAATTCGCCAAGAACAATACATGTTGATTATTCTTGATATGATTTTGTCCTGTCATTTTTGTTGTTCTTTAACATTCAATTGATATGAAAATAACATATGAAAGTCAAAAAACTTTAATATAATATTAATTTTAAAAACAGTTATTAAAAATTACTACATATCATGGGACCTAATTTAATTTTTTATATCAGGCAGTTTATCAAAACTTCTGGGTTTTATAGGATACTTTTTGACGTAAACTTATATAACTATATCATCAATCTTCCATATCAAGAGCCGCTATAAGGGGGAGCACCTTAGCTCAGGACCCCATTTAGACAGCCCCCACCTCTATGAATGAAATCTGGATTCTTTAAACAAAAATTGTATTTTAAAAAATACTCCCTCCGTCCTTTTATTTTTGCTCCATAATCAATTTTTGAGTAAAAAAATTGAAAAATTTGACCATAAATTACCGTTAATTTATAAAAGATTATAAAGTTATGAGCGAGCTTGTTAGATTAGTCTTAATGTATATTTTAATAATATCATAATTTTTAATTTTTACGTTTATGAAAATGAACATATAAACCTTTTAAAATGCGTCTGGAAAACCGTGTATGGTCTAATGGGGCGAAAAAATAGGGACAACGGAAGTAATAGATAAATACTCCCTTTCAGAAATATAAATGTAAAGTTTTTCCTATTTATTCTATTTAATAAATTTCGTAACCATGTTAATAATTGTTATTTTGTCCTCCTCACTTTCTCCATCTCATCTCAAATCTTGAGGTGCATGACAAAATTTCAATACAATACGATGATTGAAAAAATAGTCAAATAATTTGAGTTAATAATCCATCATTATAATGACAAAATATTTTGTTGGTGAATTTTGAATGAAATATGTCTTTGTTGTTGAGAAGCCCTTATTTACTGTTTGCTCCGGGCTCTAAAAATGTTTGAGACAACACTGTTCACATCGGGCAAATATCTAAAATAACCGTATTGTCATATATCCTTTAACCGTAGTATATATAGGTGTTATTGCATGTACTTAATTCTATTTCTTTCCGGTCAGCCAAACATATACGTAGTAATTAATTTATAGTTAAAGGATACAAAAATAATGCTAACGAAGGGTCCATCTATATTTTATGAATTTGAACAAATGCTTCACTTCTATCTCCTTAAACTGTTAAAGGTAATACTCCGTACTTCGTAGCAAAGAGGCTTTAACTGGTGATATTTTCTTTGATTGATGTGGAAGTGTGAACTATTATTCAAAGAAACACAATTTAATTTCATCGTACGTACTAGATAACCATGCAAGCTTTTAATGCTTACAAGATATATATATAGGGGTTGGTTGGAATGGATTTAAAGCAGTATTACTACATATTTTCTTTATTGTGGACTATTCAAGAGTAACATAATTTAAAGTTCCTAATGGGGTATTTAAATTATAGACATGAGATATGGCTAATATGAGTTTGATTTAGTCAAAACTCATAGTCGTTGTACAAAGTTACAGAGTTTGAATCAAATTTCCTACAATAAAAAGGCTTTTATATACTTGCACTTCACTATTACTAATCTATATATATATATATATTTCACCAAATTGATTTCAATCCAAAAATAGGACACAAAAATACATACCACAACCAAATACAGTACTTAAGAATTCAATTTTACAAGTCGAAAATACTACAAATAACATGTTATAAACAAATGGTACAATAAAATTATTATATTGAATTAACTTTATGATTTTTTAGTTAATTGATAAGCTTTATGGGGAAATATTAAAATCGGTTGTACAAATAGAAGATATAAAAAGGGAAAAAAAATTATACAAAAAAAAGTGAGATAACTTAAGAGACCAGTTATTAAATATAACTGGTCTCTTTAATGAAAAAAGAAAGTAGCGCAAAAAAATTGCGAAATGCAATAGCAGCATCAAAGAGACCTCTTATATAAA